GGCTTCTGCGGGCTGCCCTCCCCCATCAATGGGCCGCTTCCCTGGCAGATAATTACCAGCTTTGTTTGGAGTAAAAAGGCCCAACTTACAACTTAGCAACAGGTCTCTTAGCAACGGGCTCCCAGCTCCACACATGATGCATACGGGGCCGCCAAGCTGCGGGTAGCGGGGTTGTCAGATGCCCCCATCCCCCCAGCCTCCTACTCCGGGGGCAGGTGCGCTCCTACTCTGGAGGCCTCCAGAGCCCTCCCAGCGCCCCCTCCCAGCGCCCCCTCCCTGCCCCGGCCCCTGCCTGTCCTCCGTTGGGGGTCTTTCAGGGGCGCCTTGCCAGGCAGAAATGGGCCTGTGGTTGCAGCGCGCAGTGATTCTGCGATGCGCAGTGATGGGCGCGGTGCGCAGTGATTCAATGATTGTTGCTCTGGTCCTTTGCGGGATGAGCTCCTGCGTCCTCCCAGCTTCCAAGAAGCCGGAGAAACCCCCTTTGGCAGATGAGGGGACTGGAGCCCAGAGAGGAGGCGCCCTGGGGCGGGCCAGCTAGTGAGATTCTCTCCTGGAATGACCCCTTCAGACCCCAGGCACTGACCAGTGGAGGGCAGGCGGAGGGCCGGTCCTCGGTGTGTTCACTCCGATTCATCTGTTCTGGAGCCTCCCTGGCTCCTAAGGGCCGCGGAGCCTTGCGGTCAAGGCTGTGAGGGACCCGCCGCCCCCACCTTGCTTTCTTGCCTCGGCTCTTTTACCCCCTTCCTGTATGCTCCTTGGGGTGGAGGCAACTGAATTCTTGCACACCTTGCACATACCCCCCAGACCTTATCCACTGTCCTGCCGCCTGGCAAGGCCTCTCCCCACCTCCCTCCACCTCTTGGGGTTCAGAACCTCCCCACACCTGGCCTTCACAAGCCAGCTCCCCTCCTGCTGGAAGCTGCCCAGGTGGACCCCACCGGCCTGAGGTGCCATCCCCCAAGCATTTCCCCCTGTCCCAGCTAGGCCTCAGTTCCCTCCTCCGTGCAATGGGTGCAGCAATGGGACCCACCCTACAGGGTGCTGAGCGTGTCTCAGCTGGAGGAGGAGAAGGGGAGGCAGGTGCCCAGCCTGGCCCGTGTGTGGTTCGGCATGTTCCGGCGAGGCCATCCTAGAGGTGGGGGGAGGGGAAGCCCTAGCCCAGAGGGGACCCAGCCCACTGCACTGCTGTGGACCCGAGGGCCTGCTGGGCCATGCAGGGGACAGAGAGAGAGAAAGGCCCGGAGAGGGCGCCTGGCAGTCCCAGGGAGACCCAGCTGGTCCATCACTGTTTGGCTGGGGCCAGAGAGCCATCATGGTGATGGGGGAGGCGTGGGGAATGGATGACAGTGTGAGTGGAGAGAGCAGAGGGAGCTCAGGTGGCTTCCATCCCTGCCCTGGGCCTCAGTTTCCCCAGCCGCATAGTGAAGTGGCTGGAATTCCTGACCCCGTGGTGTTTGGTTCCTGGGGTGTGAGGGGGCCCAGGACCTCTCCTCAGGGCTCAAGACCACCCCTCCCGCCTGGTGCCTGCTTTATCTGCCCTCGCCATCCCTCTCTTGAGCCACATGGGGTCCCTTTTTGATTCCTCATATCCAGAGGGGTTACCCCACTTTCCGAAGATGGAAACGGAGGTGTTGGGAAGACAAGAGACTTGTTCAAGTTCACTTGGCACTATCCCTCCCCTCCGTTCCCCCTCATAACTCTGGAGAGTTAACTCCTGGGGCACCCTATGCCCACCCTGCCCGGCAGGAGGCTGGGGGAGTGTGAGGCACAGGTGCTGAGTCGCCCCCCACCCCCCATTCCTCTGGCTTCACAGATCGCTGCCCAGGAGCTGTCAGTCTCCTCAGGGCTCAAGACCACCCCTCCCGCCTGGTGCCTGCTTTATCTGCCCTCGCCATCCCTCTCTTGAGCCACATGGGGTCCCTTTTTGATTCCTCATATCCAGAGGGGTTACCCCACTTTCCGAAGATGGAAACGGAGGTGTTGGGAAGACAAGAGACTTGTTCAAGTTCACTTGGCACTATCCCTCCCCTCCGTTCCCCCTCATAACTCTGGAGAGTTAACTCCTGGGGCACCCTATGCCCACCCTGCCCGGCAGGAGGCTGGGGGAGTGTGAGGCACAGGTGCTGAGTCGCCCCCCACCCCCCATTCCTCTGGCCTCACAGATCGCTGCCCAGGAGCTGTCAGACAACCGCGTCATCACACTGAGTCTGGCGGGCAGGAAGCTGGACAAGAAGGTGAGGGAGGCGGAGGGGGGGGTTCTCCTTCCGGGAGCAGTCACCCTCCCCAGCCCCAGGGTTGTGTGGCCTAGACCTGGAACTTCTGGCCGCCACTGTCATCACCCCCCACCGAGGGACAAGCCCATAGCACAGGGCTGTACTGGCCACCCCCACGTAGGACCTCTTCACCACTGAGGTAGTGAGTTTCCCATCACTTAGAAGTATTCAAGACGTGGCTCCTTGTCAAGAGCCACTCTTTGGGAACTCCCTACCTCACTTTGTGTAAATGCTAGGATTCTTACAGTAACCTACGGGGCCCCACCTGGTGTGTCCGCAGCCCCGACCCTCTGACCTCACCCGTTTCACTCTCCTCATTGTCATTCCGCTTCAACCAGATCAGCTCCTCCTTGTCCCAGAATTACACGAGGTGCGCTGCTGCCTCAGGACCTTTGCACATGCTGTTCCCTCTGCCTGCAATGGTCTTTTCCTTCAATATTCTCATGATGGCTTCTCGCCTCCATCACGCCTTTGCTCTTGTGTCACCTCCTCAGCAAGGTCTTCCCCAAAACTGGAATGGTCCCCAATTCCGCCCCACCCTTGCTTTACTTGTCTTCTTAATACTAATTGCTGCCTGATATACATTATTATTTATTTTCTGGCTCCCCCACTTGATTATAGATTCTTTAGAGCGACACTCTTAAGTCAATGGATTTTAAAAGGATAGCATATCCCATCGGTAATGTGCTTGGGAGAGTTGCCATTTTTCAGATTCCCACTAAATAAATGAGAATCATGTCCTGCCAGGGGCCTCCCCTGACCCTGGGAACAACCACCCTTTTGAAGTTCTGCCTGGCCTACAGAAGCTGGCCTCCTGCTCCCGCAGCTCCACCCTCAGGGGCTCCAAGTACAAGTGTGGGAACCCCGGGGTGGGGTGGTTTCTCCAGGAGGCAGTAGGTCCCAGGGGCTGCAGCAGCTCTGGCCTCTCGCTGAGCCCCGCAGAGGCCGAGGGGAGGGGGCCAGGCTGGCTCTGCCCACAGCCGCCCCCTGACCCTGGGCGGGGGAGGCAGCCGGCCACAAACCCCCTCCCGGCTGAATGTGGCAGCTGCGCCCCCCTCCCCTGCACCTCCTGCTCCCTCCAGGACCTCTTCGGGAAGTCGGACCCATTCCTCGAGTTCTATAAGCCCGGGGATGATGGCAAGTGGATGCTGGTCCACAGGACGGAGGTGGGTGCGGGGGGACCCGGGGGTCTCTAAGCCGGTGGGTCTCCAATCGGGGGGTCTCTAAGCCAGTGGGTCTCCAGTCCAGCTGCCCACAACGACTGAGAGAGGGCTGTGGACTTGTTCTCCCTGCCACAGGGATGCCCACTTCCGTCCTCAGAGTGTGGCTGTGGGTCTCTCCATCTTGCCACTCCCCGTCCCCACTGGGCTGCTCTGACCCCAGCGCACTGCTGTTCCCTGGCCCAGGCCCACCCTTGCCAAGTACAAGTGTGGGAACCCCGGGGTGGGGTGGTTTCTCCAGGAGGCAGTAGGTCCCAGGGGCTGCAGCAGCTCTGGCCTCTCGCTGAGCCCCGCAGAGGCCGAGTTCCCTGGCCCAGGCCCACCCTTGCCCCTCACTGCCCTGCAGGTGATCAAGTACACGCTGGACCCTGTGTGGAAACCGTTCACCGTGCCACTGGTGTCCCTGTGTGATGGGGACCTGGAGAAGCCCATCCAGGTGAGGGGGCCCTGGGAACCCTGCTCCCCACGCTGCCAGCTGCAGCCTTCCCGTCTACCCGAGGCGTCCTGGGTGCCCTGGCAAAGCTCTTTCTTTTTTTAAAATATTTTTATTGATTTCAGAGAGGAAGGGAGAGGGAGAGAGAGAAACATTAACGATGAGAGAGATCCTACTAGGGATCGAGCCCACAGCCTGGGCATGTGCCCTGGCCAGGAACCGAACCATGACCTCCTGGTTCATAGATCAATGCTCAACCACTGAGCCACGCCAGTCAGGCCTAGGCAGTTCCTGTCCTCTGAAGCGTGGCTGTGGGTCTCTCCATCTTGCCACTCCCTGTCCCCACTGGGCTGCTCTGACCCCAGCACACTGCTGTTCCCTGGCCCAGGCCCACCCTTGCCCCTCACTGCCCTGCAGGTGATCAAGTACACGCTGGACCCTGTGTGGAAACCGTTCACCGTGCCACTGGTGTCCCTGTGTGATGGGGACCTGGAGAAGCCCATCCAGGTGAGGGGGCCCTGGGAACCCTGCTCCCCACGCTGCCAGCTGCAGCCTTCCCGTCTACCCGAGGCGTCCTGGGTGCCCTGGCAAAGCTCTTTCTTTTTTTAAAATATTTTTATTGATTTCAGAGAGGAAGGGAGAGGGAGAGAGAGAAACATTAACGATGAGAGAGATCCTACTAGGGATCGAGCCCACAGCCTGGGCATGTGCCCTGGCCAGGAACCGAACCATGACCTCCTGGTTCATAGATCAATGCTCAACCACTGAGCCACGCTAGCCAGGCAGCTCTTTCTTACTCAGATGGAGAGAGAACCCATCTGGGGGGAAGGGGAGGAGACCCGGGTCCTGGCCCTGGGTCTGCCCAGCCCCTGAGTGACCTGGGCAGTGCCGGGCAGCTTTGTGGGTCCCTTCTCTAAAACAGGGTGACTGTCCTGTTGTCCCCGAGGGGTTTGCTCAGGGAGCTGAGAGGGGCTGGAGGGCTCCTCTTTGGGGGGCAGCTCTGGGGTGACCTCACTGGACCCACCCCAGGTCATATGCTACGACTATGACAACGACGGGGGCCACGATTTCATCGGCGAGTTCCAGACCTCGGTGTCACAGATGTGTGATGCTCGCGATGGCGTTCCGGTAAGAGGGGTGCGTGTGTGTGACCCCAAGACCTCCGCAGGGGCCAGGGAGGGGGCACAAGTTTTGGAATCAGGCAGATGGAGCTCGATTTTACTTCTCCGGCTGTATGACCTTGAATAAGACATCCAACCTCTCTGGGCCTCAGTTTCCCCATCTGTCAAATGGGGATGGAGTAGAGTGGGAATTAAATGAAATAATACAGGGAAAGTGCCTAGCACATAGCGAGCACTCAGGAACTGCCCATATAACTGACCCCGAGAAGCCAGACCCTGGGTGCCAGTTCTGGGCTCATGAGTGGATAGGGCATGGACGTGTTATTTTGGGGTCGGGGTAGAGGCAGCTCTCCTACCTTGGGGAGCCACAGTTTGGTGTGAACCCAGGTGTCAGGACTCATTTCTGGGTGTGGACATCCAGGAAGACTTCCTGGAGGAGGCATGCTACCCCTGGTCGATGCTGTGGAGGGGATTCTGGGGTCCAGAGGAGGGTCAGTCCCCAGGCAGGCCCTGAGGTGAGCTTCTCTCCCTCCTCCCAGCTGGAGTTCGAGTGCATCAACCCCAAGAAGCAGAGGAAAAAGAAGAACTATAAAAACTCGGGCATTATTATCCTGCGATCCTGCAAGGTGAGCCAGCGGGGAGTGGGGGAGGCACAGGGCAGGGCCGGTGAGCCTGCGTGCCAATCCTGGTTCTGCCAATCCCGGTCCTGGCTCTGTGACTTTCAGAACTGAACCTATCTGGGCCTCAGTTTCCTCGTCTATAGAATGGGGGTGTTGATGAGGTAAAGCATGGGAAGGGTTAGTCTCATATCACATCCCCGGGCGGAGGTCTTGGAGGACATGCGATGACCCTATAACATTACCCATAATTTTATGGACCACATAACAGCTGGAGATGTTCTCTGTCATACCATTAGTAGGTGTAACTGATGTGCTGGGTCCTGGGACCCCGCCTGCAAGGGACACAGAGGAGGCGGAGAAGCGCAGGGAGGGGACTGGAGAGAGACCCGCGTAGGGGAGTGGAACATGCTCCTACGGGCACAGGAACCCTGGCCTTTCCCCTAAGAAGCAGAGCCAGGGTGGCCCCCGAAGGGTGTGGGGCGGAGTGGGCAGAGGTGGCGGGAAGGCGGCCTGGCACTGTGGCCCCTTTTCCCTTCATGCTGATCGCTGACGCAGGTGTGACTGTATTTCCTGGGCAAACCAGTGAAAATACGGAGACAGTTGGAGCCTCTTCGTCAAGGGAGGGTGAGGTCGGTTGGATGGCTTCAGGGGAGGCAGTTAGGGGGCTAAACCCCCCACAGTTGTCTCCAGACGTGAGCCTTGAAGAGCCTTTTCCTGGGGCAGCCGGGTCGTGGGAGTCGGGCTGCTGGGCTCCCATCCAGCTCTGGGACCTCAGGCGAGTGTCTTAACCTCTCTGGGCCTCCGTCTCCCGGCAGCCCAGTGGGGTTAGCAGTCGCTGCCTTCTGCCTCCCTTGAGCATCACGCAGCGGGAGGTGTCGCCAGCGCCTGGCATGGAGCAGCGAGCTGTGAGTGCTTGAGCATCTTTCCTCTTCGCCAACCCTCACGGAGCTCCCCGCTCCCCTCTCTCCCCTCAGATCGTCTCCAACAAAAAGATCACTCGGCCTCTGCTGCTGATGAATGACAAGCCTGCCGGGAAAGAGCAGTCGCCCTTCTGCCTCCCTTGAGCATCACGCAGCGGGAGGTGTCGCCAGCGCCTGGCATGGAGCAGCGAGCTGTGAGTGCTTGAGCATCTTTCCTCTTCGCCAACCCTCACGGAGCTCCCCGCTCCCCTCTCTCCCCTCAGATCGTCTCCAACAAAAAGATCACT